GATCTGCTTTTTTTTAATTAAAATTTTTCTATCGAAGTATAGTGGATTTACAATGTTGTATTAGTTTCTGGTGTACAGCAAGATGATTCAGTCATATATATATTCTTTTTCCAGATTCTTTTCCATTATAGGCTATTACAAGGTATTGAATATAGTTCCCTGTGCTATAAAGTAGGACCTTATTGTTTATCTATTTTATATATAGTAGTTAGTATCTGCAAATCCCAAGCTCCCAATTTATCCCCCCATGTCCCTTCCCCTCATGGTAACCATAAGTTGATATCTGTTTTGTAAATAAGTTCATTTGTGTCATTTTTTTAGATTCCACATATAAGTGATATCATATGATATTTGTCTTTCTCTGTCTGACTTATTTCACTTAGTATGACAATCTCCAGGTCCACCCATGTTGCTGCAAATGGCATTATTTGATTCTTTTTTATGGCTGAGTATATTCCATTGTGTGTATATACACCACATCTTTATCCAGTCACCTGTCAGTGGACATTTAGGTTGGGTCCATGTCTTGGCTATTGTAAATAGTGCTGCTGTAATTATTGAGGTGTATACATCTTTTCAAATTGTATTTTTCTCTGGATATATGTCCAGGAGTGGGATTGCTGGATCATATGGTAACTCTATCCTTAGTTTTCTAAGGAACCTCCATACTGTCCTCCATAGTGACTGCACTGATTTACATTCCCACAACAGTGTCCTACATGCTACTTCCATAGACATCGTCTCATTATCCCACGACAACCCTTTGAGGGAAGGTGTTAACCATTTCCCGAGCTAGAAGGTGAGGCTTACAGGGGGTAGTCACCTTGCCCAAGTTCACAAAACTATGAAATAGCCAAAGTTGAATCAAAGGAAATAGCTGGAGAATTTTATACAGCAAGTATTGAGTGTTACCATGTTAATTCACTACTCTGAGATTGAAGTTTTATTTCTGTTCACGGAGGTAAGTTTTCTTATAAACAACATAACTTAACCGCACTGCAATTTAGAAAGCAAAAAATCCTCCAGATACTTCCACTCTTTGTGGGCCATCATCTAAAAGGCATTTCTTTCTGAGAGTCCTGCAGTGTTCTGTTCTTCAGTAACTGTCTTGTTCTCTGTGATTCTAACACTTCAGTTAGGATTTTCACTTTTAACCTTCTTTCTCCCTGGGAAAAACATCAGGACCAACTTGTGTTACTGGTTTGTAGGATTATTTTTGTTAGTTTCATGGAAAGAGAAAATTCCTTGACTTCAAGTAGAATTTAATTGAGTTACATGATCCCTCAGATTTTTTAGTAGCTTTTGTCAAAGCCATGACAAGCATCTAACGTTTTCTTAGCCATCTTTTTTTTTGAAGTATAATAATTTATAATGTTGTGTTAATTTCTGGTATACAGCATAGTGATTCAGTTTTATATGTATATAAATTCCTTTTCAGGTATATATATATATTTATTCCTTTTTATATTATTTTTCATTATATACCATTACAAGATATTGGATCTAGTTCCCTGAGCTATATAGTAGGACTTTCTTGTTTATCTGTTTTATATATAGTAGTTAGTATCTGCAAATCCTGAACTTCCAGTTTTTCCCTCTGCATCCTCTTTCTTAAAATAGAGAGATGCAGGGAGTTAGTGCTAGTGGCTGCAGTGGGCACAGCAGGTGGGGATGGAGCACAGGCAGCAGGGAAGCAGCCCTGACAAAGTAACATTTGAGCAAACAGCCAGAGGTGGAGAGAGAATGAGTTAAGTGGGAATCGGGGGGACGTGGGTTCCAGGCACAGGGGTGGGACTGTGCGTGTTGGGACAACAGCAGAGAGGCTTGTGTGGCTCAAGCGAGTGAGCTGGGAGAGGAGTGGGTAAGTGGAAGTGATGAGAGACTGTCACACCAGATGTATGTTTTGAGGATTTGGACTCTTATTTTGATTGATGCGAAGCCACTAGAAGGTTTAGATGGGAAGACTCAACATTTTCCCTCTTTATGTTTAAAATGTGAGGCAAGATAGGGGTACTGGATTAGGAGATACAAACTAATATGTATAAAACAAACAGTAAGGATGTATTGTACAGCACAGGGAAATAAATAGAGCCATTATTTTGTAATAACTTTAGATGGAGTATAATCTATAAAAATACTGACTCACTATACTGTACACCTGAAACTAATATTATAAATCAACTATATACTTCAATAAAAAAATTAAAATGCCATTTTAAACTGTTAGTTGAGAATAAAATGTAGAGGGGCAAATACAGTCATTGCCCATTGAATACCCTTTCTTGTGAAGATGGAATCAAAATACAAATGTCTTTTCATTGAGAAAGAAATGAGAAGGGTTATGGTCCATGCTCAAAATCTTGAAGAGATTTGGCTAGTTCGACTATAAGCTTGATTTGACAGCACTAGAATTCCTTGAACTACTTTTTGTTCTTAAAGCCAGGAAAGGGGCATTTTTTAATACAAATAAAAGTACTGTCTTACAAAGCAGATGATAAACTTAGGAACTTGTGTTCCTTCATAGTGGTCCCAGGTGAAAATATGAACTGCTTTAAAGAGAGTTTAAATAAATGATGCACTTGGGATGGGTCCATAATGATGAACAAAGTAAGTTAGGGATGTCATTGGGTCCCTCAGTTAACCTTGAAATGAACATGCTCTCCTGCAAAGTCTCTTTAGTAGCAGACAACAACGGCAAAAAAAAAAGGTTAGATGGACCACTGGTCTGACTCTGAATATCATTTCTTGTTTTTGTCGTCTTTATCATCAAATGGATAGTCTTATAATTCAGAATTTGATGCTGTTGGATTGACTGTTTTTCTTTCTTTCCTTTTTTTTTTTTTAAGCCCAAAAGAAATAGAAGACTTTCAGTCATCTGAGTCTTTTGGTAGCCAGCAGATGAATCTCAGTATTGGTGATGACAGCACGGGTAGCTGGTCCAACTTAAGCTTTGAAGACGAGCACCAGGATGAGAGCAGTAGTTTTCATCACCTAAGTGAGAGGTAACTGCGATTTTGCACGTGATTGCCTGGCTCAGATACTCAGACCTCTGAAGGGAGCTAAATTTACATGGATGATTTTAAAATTTTGAATTTGAAAATCTGCCATTATTTTCAAAGTATATTTTATTATTCACAATATAGATCTCATGGTTTTGACATGTATTAAATATAGCCATTAGCTGAGCTGATTTGGCAATAGTTGATTTGAAAACTATTTCATACATTCGATTTCATACCCTTTAAACTTTACCTGGACTTCTCATCACTTTAAAGAGGGTACTTTTGTTTTTTTCGTTAAAGGATAGGGAAAAGAACGGTTAAGCTCTAAACGGCATCAAAATGGCCCTTTAGTTTTCTTGATAGGAGTCAACGTAGTATCCTTTTGGGGAGGAAGGATTCCTTACTTGTCCTGCTATTCAGGAACGAAATGACCTGAGCATTTTTACTTGAATGACCGAAAATACATAAACTCATTACAAAAATATGGTGTTGTACAGCAGAAGGCTCTTCATAGATCATTTTCTTAGTTAACTTTGTTCATGAAACCAGTTTGGGGAAATATTTTATTAGTTATGATACAGTTATTTCTTATATTCTTAACTCTGTAAAGGCCTTCCTGTCTAACCTATAAAATGCCCTGAAATCTTTATCCACATTAAGTGATAATTGGAAATAATGGATACCACCCATAGCTGAACCTAGGGAGAGAAAAGGGTTCTCAGCATACATACATCCAGGTTTGGGCATGTGTGGAAAAGGCCCTATGTGGTTTCAGTTGAACGGAGCCCTTGGAGTTGACTTAGCAGGATGGGGCAGTGAGCAGACCACTGGAAGAGGGGATGAGGACATACAAGGAAATGACTTGTCATTGGTTAGGACATAGCATCTCAGAGTATTTCATTTGATGTTTGGATGAACCAGTGAGTATTAATATTCTTATAAAGTAACTGTTTTGTCATAGTTTCTTAAAATGTGATGTAAACTCCCAATATTTTACAAAATCTAAATCCAAAAACGGCAGTCTTTAAAACCGGTAGCAGGAAGTAATGTCACGAATCACATTTAGCCCTTCCCATAAGTCTAGAGTAGAATATTAGCGCTTGAATGCTCATCTGATCTTTGAGAAACAGGCCCTAGCATTTCAGTAAGGGTTGGCATTGTTGCTTACGGAATCCTGAGATTACAGTCAGAGAACTGAGGATAGAGACGGATGGCCTTAAGAGGACTGTAGCCAGTCGAACAACTCTATACGGAATGTTTTCTAACTTGATGAAAAGAGGGAGGTGTCTGGTAGGATCTGTGCTTGGTTCTTCCTCTTGGACATTATTTTATTAGTGATGCGGAACACTTAATATTTGTAAGTGACTCAAAACAAAAATGACAAGATAATCCCATTAGCAGAACCAGGGTTCAAAAAGAATCAGACTGAGGCTGCACTTACTATGCTTAACAGGGGCAAATGACTTTAGGTTCAGAAGATCCATTATTTGAATTTCAGGAGGGGCAAACCTGACTTGATAGCATTTTGTCAGAAAAACACCTGTGGTTTTAATTGACCGTAGTCTTCATAAGAACTAATGATGCTGTGTGGAATTAAGGTTTAGGCACAAAGAGAAAGTTCGTGGGGCTCCTCCAGGGCTGGTGGTGTGCTGACCTCACAGATTAAGACCCACTGGTCACTGAAGGGTCCCAGGAATCTGCAGGCTGGATAAGTGCTCAGATTTTAAAGCAGATAATTCGGAGTCCATGCTTAAAATGCATGGTTTTACATGTTTTGTCTTTTGATGCCATCTGCAGTAGGAACTGTGATTTTTGGTACAGAGATCAAGATAGGAGATAGAAGACCTCCTGGTTTGGACACACCTTGCACTTTTACTCTTAAGGACGAGGTTCAGGACAGGGCAACAGTCAGTTAAAAAAGAAATAATAATACCAAGTTTTCACACGTGTTTAGGAGGAATGTATAATTATTTGGTCAGAAAGAGAACTTGGTCGCTATACGAATCTTTTAAGTATTTTGGGCAGGCTGTGAATTTCTTGAAAGTTGCATAGTAGATTAGTAAGAAGTGGGGCCAGATTTGCAGAATTTCTTTCGATAATTTTTATGAAATGTGTCACAACTGAAATTAGTCTTCATATGGCTGAGAGACACAATAAAGAATGTTAGTCCTTTACCACCAATGATTTGAGGTACACCTGTCCTAGACACAGGGACATAGGAAGTAGGAGAAGACAAAATGATGGAAGCAGGGCATATATTCAAGACTGAAATGTGAAGACTGTCAGGTGAAGATATTAAGCTGTTTTATGTTTGGGTTACTCTCGGATGGTCACACCTCCCAGTTTGCTCGGGACAGTCCTGGGTCCTTCTGTTGTTCTGGTGAAATTACTAACGGTGACTTCTGTCATTTTCAAAGTATAGTTAAATGGAAAATTATAGTTAGAAGTTAGAATTGACATTTTATAAGTAACGGACTTCACATCTGACCCATTTTGAGGGGCCAAAGGGATTGGCCCCTCAGAGAGATTAGCTAGAGGTAGTTTGAATTTTTAGTCTCTACGTTTTTTAGGTGTTATTTCCTTTCATATTCACATAATAAATAGGTGATAGGCTTTTATAGATTAAATGGAAGAATCATTATTGTCATTAGGAAATGGGTAAGAATTTTAATTTTGTAATTTTTTGTTTGTTTGTTTGTTTAGAGAATCATTCTATTAGTAGAAGTAAATACAGTGTTTGAGGTCACTAATTTTCTCTTTCTCTTTGGCTCACAGCTGTCTGTCCATTCTGTATTTCCATAGTTTCTCATTTTGGGTCTGTCTGGCAACAGACTACATGGGCAGAACTCTGGTTGGTTTAATGTATTTTAATAGAGCTACATTTGTTTGAACATCATGTTGAAAAGACACTGATCAGTTTTAACTTTTATTCTCTAATGCGTTGTGCTTTGTGACAGTTTGAATGTGCCAGAGTTAATATGGATATGTTAATTATTGAGATGGCCTGGGAACTGTTTCGAACTTTGAAATAATCATCTCCCTTTTTTGGTAACCTTGTCAAAATTTACAGAATTTGCACAGAAGATGGTTTTATGTTAATTCATTTTTAAAACTAAAATTTTGGTTTGCATAAATATTTTATAATTTTCTAGCCTTATATGGGGAAATATAGCTGCTTATCACTGCAAACTAATGTGCTTACTAATTATTTTAATGATTAGAATTTTAAAAAATTGCATGTGTAGACTTTAATCTGAAAAACTGAATTTTGTTTTGTTTCTGAACTCAGTTGCTTTTTTTTTTATCGCCTTGCTGCACTTGTAGAACATAGTTGCTTTCTTCTTTTGATTAGGTTGTGTGAGTTTTCTGTGTGGTGTTAGTGATCGGACAAGTGTAATGCTTGATTAGATCTTGCTTATTCAATGTTCTGAAGATGATGTATATTATTTGCCACTTACTGAATTATACATAAGTGTGAAATGAAGGTAATTAACATAATAAGAGTATTTTAAAATCAGAAAACATCTTTTCTCCAGGTTTCTAACAAGAAACGGTCTGTTTGGGACTATGTTTCTGTCTGTGTCTGCCATCTCATCCTCTCCCACACCCCAGAGAATCTTAACCTGTGGTGTTTTGTTATTAAACTTCATCCAAACTGAAGAGAATTGGCTTTTTACAAATTATATCCCGAGCTTTGCCATAGACATTAACTTCATTGTGAAACTTCTTACTTCAGTGCGTTCATTCACTGTCCTAAAAGTCACTCCGTTGTCTTAATCTGTGAAATAAATATAAACTTAGGATAGTTTTCGTGAACCTCTGTGGACAAGGAAGAACGCTCCCAAATCTCCGAAGCTGTCCAGCCCTCTTGTGCCGTAGCAGCAGTGGTCTCTTTCCGTAACGCCACGGACGCTGCACCCAGCATGGCAGCTTCAGAACGTCCGCAGTGATCACTGACAGACGCTGTTCTGAGGAAAACCAGGGTCTCCTTCCCCGTTCACCTTCTAGTTCAGCTCTGTTCTTTTCTTCTTCTGGCAGTAATGGTAACAGCAGTAGCTGGAGCAGTCTTGGTTTAGAAGGAGATTTGTATGAGGACAATTTATCCTTTCCAACATCAGACAGGTTGGTCCAGTCCAGAAACCTAAGCACTGATGAGTCTTTCACCGCTAATGCATGACGTCATAGCCTTAAAGAATGTGGGTTTCAGTGCCGATTTGTATCAACCTGCTTTTCTCCTGTATTTTGACATGATTCTGCTTGATAAATTTACATCTAATGAAAAAATTCAACTCTGCTAAGATGTGACTGACACCTGACTGCAGATGTTACTTCGATGCATGTGTTGCACTGCTTGCTTTTTCTCATCCTACCGATTACTATTTCATGAAAAAGAGCTTGCTTCCTACAGAATTTCTGTTGTTTCGGTTTTTTGTTTTTGTATATAGTTTTATTTCACTTGCAAGAAAGGTGCAGGAAAAAATGTTCTCACTATGTTAAAAATATATATAAATGGCATCAGCAGAAGCATTAATAAATAATTATTCATGGCATTGTGTGATACTCAAATGCTGTGTTATCTAAAACCAAATTAGAATATTTTGGCTTTAAATTATTTTAAATTAAATTTTATTATGTAATTGTCTTGGCGCTCTGTATATCATGGTCAGGTGGAACTTCTCAGTTATTGATAACTTAACCTTTAGGCACCATTTGTAATTGAGATTTTTAACATGAAATGGTGTGAGAAGCAAAGCTTCCCTTTTTATTGTTTTCTCCCCCTTTTAAATGTCATATGTCATATTGTAACATTCATTATTTACCACATTTTAAGAATTGATTTCAATACCATTATTAATTAAAGCTTTATTTTTTATTTTTTTTATTTTTTTAACTACTGCTGCTACTTCATTTGAAAAGTGATGGTCCGGATGACAAAGACGAAGAGCATGAGGATGATGCAGAAGGTAACTGACAATTTGTTCTCCAAAGTGTGTGTGTGTTTTTTGTGTAAGTTTCTTTAGAAGAGTCTTTAATGTTTGTACTTGTGCATTACATACCAATCAGGGTATTCTTGAACTAATCTATCGAGTGTCAGATCCTTTGCTGAGCAGTTTGTGCTATTTGATTGCTAAACTTCTGAAGTGCTCATCAGTGTGAAAACTGAACTACTTTAAAAGAATGATTCATTTATTTGAGAGAGAAATTTATGATAATCTCTATGTAATTATCTTTTTCAAAATATAAAATTCTTGCTTACATTATGAGATAAAATGTATTATAATTATCACATGTCATAGTTTTTTCCCTTCCAAACAAGTAATTATTAGAATTAGTGTTTGATGTCAAGCTTACATAGATCAGTGAGTAAGAATAAAAAGATAATTTAAAATCAATTTTTTCTTCCCTCCATTCCAATCTTACACTCACACAAACTTGAAGAAAATAGTCAGTTCTTCCTTTAATAAACATAGTTCCAAATATGTAAATACTAGGTACTGTTGGTCACAGAGTTCTGGATCATGATTTGTAATCCTTAATTCAAATATATTAGAATGTCTTGAGGGAATCTCAGAAACTGTTCATGTTGAAGCTGAGTTTTCATTGTGTTTAGATGATTGTTGAATTTTTTTCCCCAAAATCTTATTTTTCCCTAATTCTGAAAATACCAATGTCTTCTGTAGAGTGGCACATAAGAATATTGACGTTGTTTCAGACATTTGCTTTTGAACCAGTGATTTTTAAAAATCATCTCTTTAGAAATAGGCAAATAGAAAATTGCCAAAACAAATTTCTTAAAATGTACTTTATGACACTTGAGTTTCCAATCAATTTTATCATCAACTGTATTTTTCTTGTTTAGGAAAGTCGTGTTCCAATTTTTGAGCCAAAACTCCTCAGACCGAAGATTATTATTATTTTTTTTAGTTCTAATGCCTCTGCTTAGTAGTCATTCTTCATATAGGATTTCTAGAAATAAGTTTTTCTTATTAGGTGTAAAGTAGGGATAGGGCAATATTTTTCGAGTTATGGATAAGCTAAGTGATAGTTGTTTTATTTTTATTGACTGAAAAATGTTGACTTTGTCCAGAAAAGGTGTATATTTTTTCCCAAGTAATACTTGTAAGCAAAGTTTTTCCAAAGGCTGTACATGGCATAAGTGCAGGTGGTGATTATTTTCTCTGATAAACTAGTTGTTACTTAACTAACTTTACTGAGGAATGATTAAAAGATAATACAAGTTAATCTAAATATGAAATTCACTTTAAAAAGTTTATGCTTTTACCACTAGCAAGGCTATTCAGAATTTTTTTTTCTAAGTGGGTATAAACTGGGAGATTAATTATATGTAGATATGTCATTACTCAGCTTTTGAAATTATAGTTATCTTTCATTATATAGAAAATTGTAGCCAACTTTCAAATATGTTAAATTAGAAATCGGTGAATTAGCAGATAGAGTGATGTGGATTTACAAGAGATTCAAAATTATGGAAATCTTAAGGCAACACACGTCATTCGTTACTGTTGCTGTGGGTAGTCGCAGGATGTCTGTTCCTTCCCTTTTCATTAGTGTTGAGTCACCTTTGAAGAGAGAGGTCACTCTCATAGGCCAGGCAACCAGGAACCCTGAACTGAGAAATCCAGTCCAGAGAAACCTGGGGGTGACTTAGCCTGCAGCCCCCTGACCTCTGCAGATTTACAAAATGTTCCAGAGATTACGTCTGTTGCCATCTTGCACCAGATTCATTTTTGATTGAGAGTCAGAGGGAGAGAGGAAGGAAACGACAATATGTTTATTTTAAGAGAATAATATCGACCAGTTTTTTTAAATGAGAAGTTAGGGGCCAATACAGATCCAAAAAATGATTAGGAGTGGTCTAGAATGCCCTGCAAACCGTAAAAAAAGAATCAGGGAGCTTCACCAACAAACGTCCTTTACTGGTGCAGGCGGGCACTGTGTCTGCCAGCGGGCCCCGCTGCTCGCCTCCTGGGGCGGGGGACCCAGATCTCAGCACCGCTTGCTGCTCAGCCATCACTAAACAGCAGAGTTAAACACATGATACTGGCCCACAGGTCATCAGTTTTATAGTCAACAGGGATTCATGTTTTTTTAATGTTGAAAGCATAATTTTCATTGAAAAAAGTAAGAACACATCTTACTTATAATACAGGATATACCACAAAATTCCCTGGTTTGGCTTTGGGATGTAAATGAGTTTGTATGTGAGTTTGTTTTTTTTTTTTCGTGTTTCCTAAAGAGTGAAGTGATTAAGAGCATGGCATGGAGCCAGACTGCCTGTGTTTATGTCCTGGCTCAGCGCCTTCCCAACTGTAAGACTCTGGATCTGTCTCTGCCTCAGATCCTTCACCTATAAAACGGAGGTGATTATAGTTCCCTCCTCATAGGGTGTTCGTGAGGATTAAAGGAGTTTGTGCATCTAAAGAGCTGTGGACAGTACTTACGACATAATATGTGCGTGCCGTACAAGTGTTCAGTGCTACTGCTTTTCCTCTTAGTTCAGAAAGCTTTTCTTAAAGCCCATTTAATGTATTTATTTGAGGTTTTTATTTGTGTTTCATTTATATTTTGATTGTAATTGTAGCTTTTTAGTTTTATTTTCTCTTGCTTCACCTGTAGATTACATTTTGACACAAATTATGGCATTTGTGAATTGCCACTTGAATTCAGTGCCTCTGAATAGTTTTGCATTTGTGCTGTCACAAATGATCAAAGCCATTCCTCTGTCTGAGTATAATGTTGTCCTTTCAGAGAAATGCTTTAGTTGATGTTACAGTACTTTTAAGAAAAGATGAATTTTTTCCCCAGAATTCCTCGGAATCTTAAGACGTGGAAAATATCCATCTATCCTTGGAAACCAGTGTATCGAGAGTTGAACTGATGAGTTTCACTTCATATTGTTTCAATTTAAATACTAGGTTTGGAGCAAGATGGGAAGACTCTGCTAGTTGCGAACGTTGACCTGGAGCCGTGCACGGTAGACCCCCAGCTGAGGATCACTCTTCAGTGGCTCGTTGCCTCTGAGGCCGAAGTTGCAGAACTTTATTTTCATGACTCAGCAAAGAAGGAGTTTATACAAGTGAGTACCTGCCTTTTAGGGTGTTGTGAGGATGCCGGATGTGATGTTCTGGGTCACGCGGTTGATCTAATAAGATGCCCGTTGATAGAAGGTAGGTAAATGCTTGGGTGGTGGAGTCCCCAGTGTTTGGGCTCAGATATCAGCGCTGCTGCTCTCTAGCAACGTAACCTTGGGCAAGTTCACCGGCCTCAGTCTCCTTATCTACACTGTGGAGATGAATATAGCATTTACCTTGCAGGGCTTTGTGAGGATTAAATATAATACTGTAAAAAAAAAAATTCCTCTAGTGCCTGGCACATCCTGAGTTCTCAAAAGTTAGATGCCTTTAATAAACATTTTGTGAGTTCATATGAAAAGACTGAGTTATTATACTTTGTAGTTAATTGGTTCATAATTATCCGTAGTCATTAGTATGTCTCTTTCTCTGTTAATCCAATCTCATGCATAAGCAAAAGCCAATAAAAGCTTAAGCATTTAATAAGGGACAGTGGTTCACTTTGAATATTTAATAGGATTCTAATAATAAAACATTCAAATTAGATACACCAGTAGGATATGTTTATTGAGAACTTACTATGTGCCAATTACTTTGTTAGTCAAGATTTTTAGTTTACAGTCTTAAGGTTTTTTTTATCCAAGAATTTTCCTTATCAGAACTTTGCTTTAATCTATATAGAATATAGAGTAGTCCAAAGAATAAGCAATATAAAATGATCAATAATAAAAAAAGGAATAGTCAAGTTATTCTTGATTCCTCGTTCAGAATTTACAAAGATGTTGTTGAAAGTAGTATGTGAAAAAGATACTATGTAAAGCATTTTGTTTTACTTTGCTGTTTGTGTTTAGTTATTCTTTTTAAATTTTTCCAGTACAGATTGCTGTTCTGAGGCAGAAGGAGACAATAAGACAGAAAGGGATGCTCAGGAAATGACTTGTCAAGGAGGAAGAGTGGGTAGGGGAAGTATTAGAACTGACCTTAGAGAGGCGGACGTTTTCAAGTCATTTAGTGTTGGATAAACTGAGGGCTAAGGAGGCTGATGATGGCACCGAGGATGAGTGCGATGAACATTCTCGCAGTTCCTCAAAAAGCTAACCACAGCATCATCACATAACCCAGCAATTCCATACCTAGGTATTTACCCAAGAGGAATGAAAACGTACGTCCATGGCAGTTTATTCACAATAGGCCAAAAGTGGAAACATCCTACATGTCCATTAACTGATGAATGGTTGAATAAAATGTGGTGTATCCGTGCGGTGGAATGTTATCTGTCACTAAAAAGAAATGAGGCAGAGACACACTGCACCACATGGGAACCTTGGACTCGTTATGCTAAGTGAAAGAAGCCGGTCACAAAAGACCAGATGTTTTATGATTCCCTTTACGTGAAATGACCAAAGTAGGCAAACCTATGGAGGTTGAAAGTAGATTAGTGATTGCCTAGAGGCGAGGGGGGTGGGAGGAATGGGGCGTGATTACTAATGGGGGTTTTTTTTTTGGTGTGATAAAAATGTCCCACTGTCGATTGTGGTCATGGTTGCATTCAAGTCTGTGAATATACCAAAGGCTATTGACTGGTGTACTTTAAATGGGTGAACTGTATGGTATGTGAGTTATATCACAATAAAGCTACTTTTAAGAAGGTTAAGCATTCTATATAGCAAAAAATTAATTTTTACAGAACTAATTAGAGAAAAATGAAGACATATTCTGATTGGTGATGATAGTTTATTTAACCTTTATTTACTTTTTAAACAAATTGACATATAACATGTTAGCTTCAGGTGCACAATGTAGTGATTCGATATATGTATATATTGTGAAGTATATACAAATATACACCACAATATTTATTTACTTTTTGTTTGTTTGTTTTTGTTTTTTTGAAATGTTAACATTTCTTAACTTAGAAAACCACGTTTCCATTGAGGCTAAATTGCATGTTCCAGGACAAAACCCACACTATATGTCGTGGAAGGCACATCCTTTTATTAAGTTTGACGTCTTTATTATTTTATGCTTCCCATTGAGGGTGTGGCAGATGTATTTAATCAGGTTAAGAATTTCGTGCAGAAATGTAGCCTCTACACCCACACAGCCTGTCCGCTGGGTGAGGTTTGTGGAGTTCTGTGTCCAGCAATCCCAAAGCGTCCTTCTGTGGAAGAGTGTTACTTGTAAAGGCCAGGAAAGGAAGAATGTTTAATTTGGGTAAAGGGTGGTGGTTTAGAGGAGAAGAGTTTGTTTTAACTGGCAAATAATATTCTACTGCAAACAGCAGAATTCTTAGCTTTATCTGATAATAAAAATAAAAATGAAAACTTGACTGTTACTAAATTGTCTTTGGTTACTTTTTGATGTATCTGTCTTCCTAGCTTTCAAAACGATTGCAAGAAAAAGGCTGGAAAGTGGGAGATGTCCTCCAGGCTGTGCTTAAATACTACGAGGTGATGGAGAAGACTTCCAGCGAGGAGAAACGCAAGTCCCTGTTTGATTGGCTCTTGGAAAATGCATAGAACAAACTCCAAACAAGAATATTTTATTATTTGTTTTGGGAGAGGAAGAAACAGATAAAGATGCGTAGGGTAATATTTGAATGGTGAATATTAACATTTAAAGTGAATCTGGAGGAAAGTAAATGTAGCTTTTTAAGTGCATTGTGTCATCACACGGTGTATATAGTCCCTATTTTTGGAATCTGTCAAATGTTATCTTCATTTATTCTTCTGTACACATGTGTAGTGTGTTAAGACCCTGAGAACATGTATTTGGAAGAAATTCTAACCATGAGGCTTTCAGGGACATTGACTGACGGCATTCTTTTTGCATCCAAATTGTGCTGCTAGAAATTGCACTGAGGTGGCTGAGGGTGGATTCCAGGGATAAAGAGTTATAATTTTGCTCCTTTGCAAGCAGATGGTATCCTATTAATAAGTAAATTGACATCAAAAAATAGCATTGAGGCTAATTTTTTTTCCTGATTTTTTTGTCCTATTTTTAAAGGGTCAATTTTATTTTCGTAGTTCAGCTATTGGTAGCTTTTGGAATCCCCCAAGCTATTTAATTTCTTAGAAGCATTAGTATTTTAGGTTTCTATAAATCCTGTGATAGTTTCCCCAGCCTTTCGTCAAATGACATTATTTGCTAATGTCGCCAACTGTTCTGGCATGAAAGCGAGTGTGTGCACGTGTGTGTGTGTGTGTGTGTGTGTGTAAAGGAGAGCTTTAACCTTGCTAGTGCGTGGTGCCCTCTTTTATTTTACTCTTTTCTTGGTTAGAAACCCACTGTTAACATTAAAAAGGTGCTTTAAAATAAAATGTCTATAAAGATTGTGCAGTAAGAATTTTTATTTTTATTTTTTTGACTATTTTGGGTCCCCAGTTTATCCTATAAATGAGAACCTTTCTTTAAAGGCACTTTGTGATTTTTCCAAAGACATTCTGGATCTGTTCGGCTGCTCAATCTTCATGTTGAAATTTTAAAAATCAACGTAAATTTGAAAATTCATTTAGAGGAGCCCAGTAATGAGTCTCATTGTTGGAATTTTGGAAAAAACAAAAAACAAATTCCACTTTAAGCAAAGATAAACTTTGTCTAGAAAAAAAATGAGACTCCCCCACCCCCTTCCCCAATAAAATGCACCTGCTCTGTTTTGTAAAGTCCTCTGATGGGATCTTTCTGGGCTCCGTGTTTTCTGCGTGTCTTTAGTAACTAAAGGTTGACTTGAATAGAGAACCAGGCTTGTGTCATGGTTTTGTACGTGAGGGTGTATGTGTAAGTTTTTGGTTCTTCCATTAGCAGATTTTGTAATCTGGAGTAAATCACTTTTTGTTGGAGGCTTTGGTTTTGTTCCGTTACTTTCCCTTTTTTTCCTGAGTACTGACTATTCCAGAAGCTACACAAACGTTAGAAGACATAGCACCTGCCAGGGGACAAAGAGGAAGAGAACTTACGTTAATTTGAATTAATAATTATGGTAGAGAAATTATTTTATTGCTTTTGAAGAAATTTGCTTTTTGAGGGAAAAAAATGCCAAAAATCTATTTAAGTATCTTGAGGTTACATCGTGAGCTTTGGTTTTTCTCAATTTAAGATAAAGCAATTGAGCAGGCCTTAAGAAGAAATTTTCCTAAAATTTCTTCAGGTATTTTTTAAGGTGGAGAAATGCAGGAAGGATATATATATATATAACCAGAATTGATTCTGCCTTTAACTTCTCAGAATGTGAGATGCAGTGGCCCTGGACCGGGTTTTTAAATGTCAGGAACTGGGTCGTTACAACATGGATGAATGGATTATTAAGTTTAGATTGAGGTTTTACAAATATATATCTATCACGTTGTGTTTAGTCACTTCAGCATACGTATGGGTTTGACTAACAGCAAAACTGAGTTCTGCATTTCTTTTAAACTAAAGTGACAGTGTGTTAGCTCTGTAAAACTTTCTGTACTTGAAGGTGTTGAGTGTTTATTTCTCTCCCAGTGATAATCATTCTGAGGTAAGGTTGTCCTCATGTCTTTGTTTTCTTTGCCTTTTCTGGAGCTGGGCTGGATTCACAGTTCCCTCATGACAGACCAGTCATTAGATGCTTGCGTGCGTAGCACTGGTCCCACTGGAACTCCACCCTCGTTTCAGTTCAGTGCAGAGGAGTGGAGAAAAATACTGAGTATTGGCAGACGTGCAAGGAAGCGTGAGTTAAGCTTCCTTTTATAGAGAGAAAACATTTGAGTTTAGAGCAGTATCTTTAATCAAGAACAGTCTAAATTTAACTTTCTGTAAAGGCACTTTGTGATTTTTCCAAAGACATTCTGGATCTGTTTGGTTACTCAGTCTTTAGAACAGCTCTGTCGGTTGAGGCCAACTCTGTCTTATTTTATTAAAAATCTACTTGACACAGTTTTATTACGACATTGTAATACTGCCATTCTGCACACTTTGGCCTTTATGAAATATCATGTCTTACTCAGAACTGTTAACATTGCAATGTGCTTTGGGTTGAATTCTCTGTTTATCAGTTTCAGAACCATCAGGATCTGTAAAAAGAAAGTGAAGGAGGAGGGGGGTTTTTAGAACATTGTTTCAGACTGAAATGGGGCAATTCTTTCGCATTCTTCTTTTCCCAAGCCAAGTTTAAATCACATTTATATTTTGGGTATTATTAATTTTGATTTTGAAAATATTTCCTGAAGGAATAATTCATTTATAAATCACAGAAGAAAATTACAGTATGATTTTGATACAATTTAATGGCATAATAAAATCTTTGAGAATATTCACTCAGTGAATATATGTGATGAACATCTTCATATTTTGAAAACTGTTCCACTGACCCTTATGAATATTTAATATGAATTAATTCGGTTATAATACTTTCACTTTGCTTATATGAGGGTTTTATTTTGCTGGTGGGAGAGGTTAATTACTTATTAAATGCCCGACGTATAAAGTGAAAGATAGTTTACCCACGTGACTTTGACATCAGTGCATGTCCCCCAGGTGCAGAGTTTAACCTTGGCTCTTCATCAGAGTCCAGACTCAGATGTCTTCTTAGTTAAATATTTAGCAAATGTTATTCTTCCACAATTAAAATGATCAACTTCCCACCAGCCTGTTGCTTTAAATTTTATGTTTTTTTCCAAAGGAATCTTTCCACAGAATTTTTAAAAAAACAATGCACCCAGGGTGTAGGGAGAATACTTACCAGTTAAAACCCCGCCTCCTGTCACCAGCACAAGAGAATTAGAGTTTCCGTGGGGATTACAAAATTGTACTAAAATGAAATGCGCTTTTTCCTCATTGTTCGCAAAAGACCCTACACACCTTTACTCACGCGCTGTATTCCTGCTCTGAAGATGCAAATACAGTGTTAGTCACTCTTGTCACTTTATTTATTTATTTTTTTTTACCATCCATGCACATTCCTTTCACATGGGCAGAATTGTAGTTCTAGAAGCTCATTGTTTTGTTTTTGTTGTAATGTTTGAATGCTGTTTAATATCAGGTTTTACTGTTGCTGGATTTGCTACCTTTGGTTGCTTGTGCAGTGTTAAAAGTTAATTCACATTCTTGTTTAATATACCAGATATATAGCAAAAGCAGCTTTGAATAATTGTAGCTGTTATTTGACTGTGCTGAATTAATACAGTAAGATCTTGTATAGCAGTAACTTTTTTTTTTTTTGCTTTTCAGTAATTTAATATGTTCATTTACCAAAATATGAACTTCAGGATGCACTAAAATTTTGTTTCAGCCGTGGCTCAAAATAAACATTTCAGAAATTACTTTTGTAATAATTTGCAATGAATTGTTCTGTTACCTTTTTTCAATTCCTTAAGTTTGTGATCTTTCTCTCCCAACTAAGAATTCTCCAATAAACTCGAGATGTCTGGCCTTGGTTTTCTTTCTCTAATGTCTTGCTAACATACTCAGGACTGAACTAAAACAAAGGCATATAACTAGAGATGCTGTGATGAAAGACACGTTGAGCAATTTCAGTGCTTCCAAGGTGATTTTCAAGAAGAGGAGTTAGGAGTATTTTTAATTGGATCCTGGATCCTAACTTCTTATTCAGGTACCTCTGAATGCTGACTTGAAAGTGACTTGAGAGGCTATTTGCCCAATCTGTTGCGGATTTTAGTGCAAAGTAGAATATTGTGATTGCCTTGAATATGAGCACGTTAGAAAATTCTTCCTGCTTGGATTGAGCACATCTTTCGTAGGATGTAAAGATCACACCTTTGTCATGCTCTGTAGCATCAGACGCTTGAAAGTTAGGTGCTTGTTGTTTATTACTAATGGAATTTGACCTTGTCATGAAGCATTTTAAGCATGAAATTAGAGAACGACTTTCTAGCTTTTTATGGATGTTTTACAATGCCAAGAAATAATGATTGCACACAGTGGCTTGGGTGTGAATGCATCCCAGTCACCAATGAAACAATTAAAAACTGCTGAGAAGCAGTAAGCAAGATTCCTCAGACTGTAATTCCAAAAAGGAAAGAGATTTCCAAAGGAATGGGAAGTTGTCACAAATGACACTGGAACGATTTTGCACATTGGGATCATTTGTGACCTGTGTTTTAGCTGGGATGGGGAGGAGGGTGAGGGACAGGGCTTGAGGAACTACCTCACATTTTTTTAAAGTATGAAAGACGGAGAGGAGTCACGCATCTGAGATGAGTATACTTTGGACTATTTTGTAAAAAGGGTAGGAGTGAAAACCCAGCAGCCTTTTGCAGCATTGTTACAGCAGAAGGAGTGCAGGAAGGTGACTCCCCGGGAGTGGGGTTCGCATATTTTTAAATCTCCATCATCTGTAGTGTTG